ACGTTTTTCTCATCCTTTCTTCCTACTCTCCCCCGGCCTCCCTCCCTCCCTCCCTCCCTCCCTCTCTCCTTCCCTCCCTCCCCTCTGAGAAGGAGGGGAGGATGAGGATGAACTCCAGTCGTGAAGAAAAAAGGAGGAAATAAAGTGGAGCAGAAGCAGAGCGAGAACAAAAAACATTTTCTCATTTTCCTGCAGTAAAAGTTATGAATTTTTTATGTTTCCATTTTCCTCTTTAATGAAATCGTTACAGTTTTTTTTTTTTTTTTTTTTTTTTGCTCCTGGTGGAGGAAACGTGTCATAACAGAAATCTGTCCTGACATTTTCAACAACAGCTGCAGCCGAAACGGCACATAATGGATTCATGAGCACCTGGGTGTGTGTGTGTGTGTGTGTGTGTGTGTGTTGACACACGTTCTTCAACAGTCCTTGTTGTTCTTCTCCACAGCGTTTTAAACAGAACTCCAGTTCACCTCATCCACGAGATCATCCTGGTGGACGACTTCAGCAACGACGGTGAGTGGGACACACACACACACACACACACACACACACACACACACACATGCTCATTTCTAGCTCAGGGACCAGGACAGCTTCTAGAATTATAACAATAAAAGAAACACCTCCAGCAAGGGTCAAAGGTCAGACGACCGGTCATTCTGAAGAAAGAAGAAAAAACATCAGAGGTTTGAGACACGGCAGCTGCTGGTCCTCTGCTGCCTCCTGTGGTCAGACAGTGTCACTGAGGTGAATCAGAACAGATGTTTTCAAACAGTGACAGGAACGTCAGCGGCTGTGTGTGTGTGTGTGTGTTTAATATTTAATGAAGGACATCACTGCAGGACTGGGTGGACATGATGATGTTGAACAGGAAATGTTTTCTCTTTGTCACCAACCTGTTGTTCTCCTTCCTGACACCTGCTGAGGACCTGCTCTGACAGCCCATCAAGACAGATGGCGCTGCAGGCGCAGCAGTGAGGAGGAGTGATGAAGGTTAAAGAGAGTCAGGATCCAGCCAGGAGACAAACCAGGAAACCAGAGCCGCTGCAGCAGGGGGGAGACAAATAAAGAGACTCAGGATCCAGCCAGGAGACAAACCAGGAGACAAACCAGGAGACAAACCAGGAGACAAACCAGGAAACCAGAGCCGCTGCAGCAGGGGCTGATGGGAAATGAAAGACCACAGTCAACAACATTTACACGGTTCAGAACCGCTGCCCTACAGCAAGAGGGTCACTGGTTCAACTCCCAGCTCCACCTGCCGGTCTCCCTGTGTTTGTGTGGGTTCTCCAGGTTCTCCAGGTTCTCCAGGTTCTCCAGGTTCTCCAGGATTAGAGATCAGGACTGCAGAGAAATGTTGAAATAAACATTAATCCAACAGTTTCCTCAGATTCTGTGATGTTTCTTTTTTTTTCTTCTCAGAAACTGACTGTCAGCTCCTGACCAGACTGCCCAAAGTCAGATGTCTGCGCAACAACAGGAGGGAAGGCAAGTACCTTCATCATCATCATCTTCATCACCCTAACCATCATCATCATCTTCATCTTCATCACCATCATTATCATCATAATCATCTTCATCATCATCATCTTCATCCCCATCATCATAATCTTCATCATCATCTTCATCTTCATCACCATCATCTTCATCATCATCATCTTCACCACCATCACCATCATCATCCTCTTCATCATCATCATCTTCTTCATCACCATCATCATCACCATCATCATCTTCATCACCATCACCATCACCATCATCATCCTCTTCATCATCATCATCTTCACCACCATCACCATCATCATCCTCTTCATCATCATCATCTTCATCCCCATCACCATCATCATCATCTTCATCTTCATCATTATTATTAACTTAATTTCTTCATCTTCATCATCTTCATCATCATTATTAACTTAATTTTCAGCTGTTCAACAGGTCACATGATGAAACACAGTGACCTCATTTTCAGGACAGATAGATGTCAGGTTATTAGTGTGTGTGTGTGTGTGTGTGTGTGTGTGTGTCCATCCATCCAGAAAATAAAGCCTTATTGAGGATGAAATGGGATTTTTAATTGGCTGAGTTTAGGCCTGACGACGCTGCTGTCGCCGCCAGAAACTTCACGGCTGCTCATGCAATGTCACCGACACTGTGACCACACACACACACACGCCACACACACACACACACACACACACACCATTGGTCTTGATGTCAGGGAGTATTGATTGGACCATTTAGTCCAAATAGAAGAGAACACTGGCCCTGATCAAGACGACCTCCCTAACAGGCTCGTTTAGACTCACACACACACACACACACACACACACACACACAGAGCCATTTTAGGCTCCACCAACACGTCTGCTGTTGTCCTGTGTTTTTTTCATCCCCCCCCCCCCCCCGATCAGAAGCCACTGATTCAAATCAAAGCTTCCATTGGCCGAGTCCTTCAACAAGAATAATCCAGATTTTTTTTTATGATTTTCGTTCAGGTTTATTTCTAATCTGTCCGTGCAGATTGGTAATCCCAGAATAATAATCCAAGGATTAGACTGTGGTCCTCAGATACACACACACAGGTGTGGTGATGAAGACAGAGGAAGACCGCAAGCTTTCATCACAGAGAGCTTTAGCGGCTAACGGCTAACGGCTAACTCATAACATGTCATTATTTAGTGTTGAATGAAAAGTGAAATCCACGGAAAGGTCAAAGGTCAAATATTTTCCCCAAATGTAGCCTAAGGTTAGACCAGTGGTTCTTAAATGAACTTTTGACCCCCCTCCACTCACCCCCCCGACCCACACCATGTATATTTAACATGTACATTTGTATCTGTACAAACCACTGTATGAGTTGCTGCCACCTAGTGGCTGGAGGCTTGTTGTCAGTCAAACGTTACAGAAATATATGGTGATGTTGTCCTAGTTGTGGAAACTCAAGGGGACACAGTCTGGTCTGTGTGTGTGTGTTTGTGTGTGTGTGTGTGTGTGTGTGTGTGTCAGGTCTGATCAGGTCCAGAGTACGGGGGGCAGACTTGGCCAGGGCCGGGGTCCTGACCTTCCTGGACAGTCACTGTGAGGTCAACAAAGACTGGCTGCCCCCACTGCTGCAGAGGATCAGAGAGGTAACACACACACACACACACACACACAGACACACACACACCCCTCCTCACCAGGTCAGTGCTGTTCACTTATTTATGTCAGTGATTATTGATGACCTCAGATCAATAACTCAAACCACAGACTGATCTAAAAACAACGCAGCCTCAAGTTCGTGTGTGTGTGTGTGTGTGTGTACCTGAATCAATACCTCATACATTTAAATGTAAATATATGACTTGAACATGACTGGAGAGACAGTGATAAACGAGTGTGGTTTACACACACACACTCACACACACTCACACACACACACTCGGTCCAAACTTTTCCAGATTACGTCTGTAGTTTGTTTTATAATCAATACAAAGACATGAACTGATGCTACACGTGGACAGGAAGTGATGCTGGGGTCATGACCCCTGTCATGTCATGTGACCTGAGTTGACAGCACGGTACTTTGACGAGAGGACTGACGACGGGCTGAAAAGGAGGTGCTCTTTTACTACACGGCCTACGGCTTCACACGTTCTCCTGAAGAACTCACAGGAAATGATCGGATGGTCCAGTGGGCCGGGTTGGCCCGCGGGCCACCAGTTGTTAATCACTGCATTATGGGAACAAGAATGTTTTTTAAAAAAAATGTAGTTTCATTTCCCGAAATTATTTTTGTTATTGATCCAGGTAAAAAAAAATCTAACTATAAATTGATCGTAGTGATTAGAGAAAAAGATTAATGACATTAGAAGAGTGATGTCACACTGCTGCTGCTGCTGCTAACACTGCTGCTGCTAATACTGCTGCTGCTGCTAACACGGCTGCGGGTGCTAACACTGCTGCTGCTAACACTGTTGCTGCTGCTAACACTGCTGCTGCTAACACTGTTGCTGCTGCTAACACTGCTGCTGATGCTAACACTGCTGCTGCTGCTGTTAACACTGCTGCTGCTAACACTGTTGCTGCTGCTAACACTGCTGCTGCTAACACTGTTGCTGCTGCTAACACTGCTGCTGCGTTTAACACTGCTGCGGCTGCTAACACTCCTGCTGCTGTTAACACTTCTGCTGCTGCTGTTAACACTGCTGCTGCTAACACTGTTGCTGCTGCTAACACTGCTGCTGCGTTTAACACTGCTGCGGCTGCTAACACTGCTGCTGATGCTAACACTGCTGCTGCTAACACTGCTGCTGCTGCTACTACTGCTGCTGCTGCTGCTGCGGCTGCTGCTGCTACCACTGCTGCTGCTGCTAACACGGCTGCGGGTGCTAACACTGCTGCTGCTAACACTGCTGCTGCTAATACTGCTGCTGCTGCTAACACTGCTGCTGCTGTTAACACTGCTGCTGCTGCTACTACTGCTGCTGCTGCTGCTGCTGCTGCGGCTGCTGCTGCTACCACTGCTGCTGCTGCTGCTACTGCTGCTGCTGCTGCTGACACTGCTGCTGCTGCTGCTACCACTGCTGCTGCTGCTGCTTTATTAGCCTAACAGCTATTAGAGCAGATGCAGTGTTGTGTAATGTGGCAGGGATTCAGACTGCGTCCCCTCGCTCTGACCCAACAGCTAATGGTCCGGAACCGCTCCACCTGCTCCGTAATATCACGGGCTGAAGACGCAGCCAGACGTTCAGTGAGTGATTTAACGACGGAGCGGCTCTAAAGTGTAATGATGTCTGTTTCCTTTCCACCGCTCTGCTCCAGCTCAAGTTCACACAGGACAGACCATGTCCTCTGGACAACCAAAGATCAGCGCTAACAGTTAGCTCCAAAGACAAATGTTAGCCATCGAAAATGACAAACAGAAAGAAAAGGATAAAACTAGTTTAGACAGTTAGTAACCAGTGACTCTGAGTCTGAGCCAACGCTGTGGTTTCTCTTCCTTTTCCTCCCTGTGTTCTGAGTCTGCAGTGAGTGAATTATATAATTAAATCCAGCAGAGGTCACCGTCACCTCGCCGTGTGCTGTGTTGCATGATCACCACTGAGTGGCAGTCTCCAGTGGAACAACCTTGGATAAAAACTGCAGTGTGTGTGTGTGTGTGTGTGTGTTTTGTCTTCCTCCAGGACTCGACCCGTGTGGTCAGCCCGGTCATCGACATCATCAACATGGACACCTTCGCCTACGTGGCAGCGTCGGCTGATCTTCGTGGAGGTAAACAAAAAAAAGAGTTTTCTCTGACAAATAACAAACCTGGCAACCGTGTATTAGCTATAAAAAGATATTTCAGTTCTGGCTAATGTTTAGCTTCTCCTCCTCTAGACGAACTATCTGTCCTCAATCTTTAACTATCTGTTGGCTAACACTTAGCTTTCCTCGGCTAACCTAAACTGATTTAAGCTATTGAAGAGCGGCAGCGTCAAACTAGAGTCTGGGGTGAGGACACCGAGGTCCGTCTCTTCTACCTCTGCCCTGCGTGTGAGCGCCCCCTCTGTCTCGTCTGACTCACTCTTTTTTCGTTCATTATACTCAGTCTTATTCCAATTTTCTGTTGTTGGCAGCAGCAGCCGACTGACAATCAATGCTGATAATGGGCCTGTGCACACACACACACACACACACACACACACACACACGGACAGACTGTTGGCCTCACAAAGGACATTTTAATTATAGATGAAGCTGATGCTCATCATATAAAAGAGATGAGAGAAAAATGGACTTTCATTGATCCACACACACACACACACACACACACACAGGTTATGAAGACCATCAACCATGCAGAGATGGAGGACGGTGATTTGGTTGTAGCATCTCTATCAAACACACACACACACACACACACAGACCCTTTCACTGACCACCACCACAGAAGGTGAACGATCATTAAAAAGACGGGAATCGAACCCACGGATGTTGCAGTTAATTATGAAGTAAAACTGTAGTAACGTCCGATGCTCCACCACGGCGATGTCCTCAGGTCAAAGGTCAACTACTGACCTGTCGTGGAGTAACGTCCACTTCCTCTCTGCTCTGTTTTCCTCAGGTTTTGACTGGAGTCTACATTTTAAATGGGAGCAGCTGTCGCCAGAACAGAGGGCGGGACGCAGCGACCCCACTCAGCCAATCAGGTAACAAACACACACACACACACACACACACCACAGCAGTGTACTGTAGTACTTTGTACTTGGTGAAAGATGAGGTCAAACGTCAGTGGTTTTTAATTGTTGTAAATACCTGTAAAGGAGGTTAGTGAGGTCCCTGTCCCCGTCCCTGTCCCCATCCCTGTCCCTGTCCCCGTCCCTGTCCCCGTCCCTGTCCCTGTCCCTGTCCCTGTCCCCGTCCCTGTGCCTGTCCCAGTCCCTGTCCCTTTCAGTGCCACAGTGCAGGCACGTGCGCAGGT